TTTTTTTGTTTCATTCTTATCTAACTTTACAGACTTTTTGTAAATGATGATAAATAATCAATAAAAACCTTTATAAAAATATTTTTGTTTTCTTTATTTTTGCTTTAAATGCAGCCACTTTCACCTCTTGGAAGACTTTCAGGAGTACCCAGCTCCAGTAATCTCCCCTAAACTGTATCCTGGGGAATAAAAATTTAGCTACTTCTGCATCCTTGTAATAATGTAAGGCGCAGCGCATTGGAGCAATTACTCGCTGCGCCAAAAGTCCGAGCACCTGACGCAAATTTGCGCCGATCATTAGTTTTACGAGCAGATCTTTGAGCCATAACCGTCCCTTCCTAATCCCAGTCTGTACGGCTGCTGGGAGTCCTGAGAACGATGGCTTCAGTTCAGTACATTTATTATCACATGGCTCTCCGGGCGTCACGCACAGCTGCCCTCGCGACGAGGAGCGCCTCTCCCCGCAGAGAGACCAACCGCAGCCCGGAGGTGCATCTCCCTGCTTCCCGCACACACACACACACACAAACACGGACCTGCACGTGACATACAAATGCAAGCCTCACCTATCAGTGGTTTAGGTGTTGTATTCCCCATTATATCCAGAAAAAATCCCTCGCGGCAGCTGCTGGTGGGTTGTGTCCCTGTCCATCCATGTGTCCTCGGTGAGTCCCTGCCTGGATGCTTTCAGCTCAAGCATTGGACAGGCTCTTCTTTAAATGTCAGCTGCCCGAGCCGCTGCGACAGGCACACACACCTCCAACTGGCGCACAGCAGCCACCCACCCACCTCCCCTCCTTCTATCTTCAGCAAAGGCTCCCCTCTTGCTCTTGCACGGCTTTAAACACGCAGTAAAGCAGGGATTCCGCCCATTTCCTCGCTCAAAAACCTTTTATAATTCACTCAGCGCCTAATTTACTCCAGCCTAATGAGTGTGCTGCCCCTTAGATAAACAGCATGTTTGAAGGGGAAGCCTGAGTTGGGCTTTCCAAGAGATTTGGATCAAATAAAGTCATTTGGGAGACTAAATACAGGGATATTCTGGTGATTTTTGTAGTGATGTTTTGTGAAATAGTTATAGTTAGTACCTAATAATAATTTACAGAGCACAGAGTATGAAGGAATAAGTATAGCTAACAAAATGAGAGCCATCCATCCATCCATCCATCCATCCATCCAAGTGGCATGGTCTCGCCAATGTGTCCTCAGTCCTCTCCAGTGTCTCCTCCCAGTCCGAAAAACCTCCTTAGGGAGGCATCCATGAGCCATTAATACCAGATGCCCAAACCACCTTAACTGGCTCCTTTAGATGCAGAGGACCAACATTTCTCCGAATCTRTCCTAAAGAAAACTCATATCAGCCACCCATCAAACAATAACCTGTTTTATATTATTYCTCAGGCTTATAAAACATCTCATTTTCAAAGAGAACGCTACTAATATTAAACCTCTACACTTTTGCAGGACACAGTTTGTTTAGTTCGTTGCTGTTTTCTCAGCATGTTGGTGTTGCATGAATGTGTTTGTGTTGAGCATAGATCACTGTGGGCTGATGTTACTGAGGCTGCAAATGAATGTGTCTCGTGTGAGTTGAGTAAACTATTGAGCCGTAACACAGAAGCTGTTTAATTGAGAAAACAGCAGCGAACAAAATGTGTCATGAAAAAGTGTAAAGGTTTCATTAGCTTAGCCTAGACTTGGGCTTTTTTGCTCCATGTTCTGTGCTCTGTGACTGATGTCACGACTGATACAGGTGGCACTGCATCTCACTGAGCAGAGACTGTTGGAGGACCAGTTAGTGTCTGAGAATTGTGAGAAAAATATGCATTTGCACCAGAACTGCATTCTTGGCTGTGAACATTGTTGTGTTGTCCACCTCCACCCACATCATAACTGCCTCAGCTGGATTGACATCCAACACTCTCCTCGTTGTTTATGGTTTCCTTTGATGTCATTTTCTATATTTGTTTGTCTTTTGTCTCCTCCTTTCTTCAGAAGCCACCCCCAGTCAATAAACACGCATGAAAGATATGGCAACTGTTTTATGTTGAATTCTTGATGCAACTTGGGCTTAAAGAGACCACCGATTAGTTGCAACATTAGACTTTATATGATAAACATATACTTTAACAGTAAAATAAAGACTGTGAAAATACTGTTGGATGTTCAGTTTTTATGATTTTTAAACTAAAAGTTTAAAAATAAATCACAGGCATGGGGCCATTTTATTTACACGCAAAGCATTCTGGGTAAATGATGACATCAACTAGGTCATAGGCACAAGGCTGCTAGTGAGCTATATCCACCCTGAAGGTTAATCTTGGACAATATCTGATGATTGACTCTTTTAAATGAAACCAGAGAGCGTTGACAGAGAGGAGAAGGTAGAAATGACTCAGCCTGTAACTGAAAATATGGATGGAGGACAACAGAGCTGCTTCCTGGAAGAGGAACCTCAGCTTAGCCTGTTAGCTTTAGCATTAGTCCCGACGCTATCACCATATATACAGCGGTTAAAATAAGTATCGAACACGTCACCATTTTTCTCAGTAAATATGTTACTAGAGGTTCTAATGACATGAAATTTTCACCAGATGTTGGTAACAACCCAAGTG